TGTTATTGTATCCCACTTCTGAAATGTTTTGTCAAAATAAAATTCACACAAGTAAACATAATATATTCTGTATTACTGGATATGTTACTGTATTGATACAAAACTTGTGAATCACGTGAAGTTACTAAATCTGAGGTGACAATACTGCGTTATACCAATACCTGCGTTTGAACTTCTTTGAATTCACTTAAAAAACAAATAAAACTTTTCGGCAGTTTGTGTCATAATCAATGGAATCATCAGAGTATTTTATAAAATAGATGAGTTGTCTATTTACTTGTTCTATGCCTATACGAAGTAGGTCAGCGAGTTCTAATTGATAATGAACCATGGGTTGAAGGTTAGGTTAGAGCATTTATAACGATACATATCAACCAACTCAGGCATACTTTATTTCATTCAACCACTGAAAGTTCCATCCGTGAATAAAAATAAAAAATAATTTATAGAAAACAAGTTTACCTTCGATTTTCATTACATACAAATAATTCACGACAATTACGAGACACAATAGCTCTCTAGCTTTTCGTAATGCCAGTGACGTACACTGTCAGAAACCTACTGAGTAGATTTACAATTATTATCACATTGACAGTGGACCCGAACCTCATATGTCAGACAATTGTTCGTAGTATTCGTTATACAGTCTTTGCCATGGCAGTTTCGTTTTGATGATGCCCAATACTTCTTCCAAAAGAGACCGCTTCGAGACAACCTAAAAAAAAACAAGTAATTGCAATGTTTTTATTTGATTATTTATTTATTTACTCAACGGGTAACCTCCAATTTTTATACCTTTGAAAGTTAACTATTCCAGTATCTATATATCTAATAAATCAACTTGCACAGACAAAATTAAAATGAAATTGGGATTAAAAAAAAGTCTGATGAATCTATACCACGTAGAGTATATCTGAGAAATGTGGAAAAAATCAATATTGGTCCCATTGACATTCGATAGAATTCTGGACAAAGGAGAATGTTTTCTATAATTACACCTATGAAAGTCAATACTGAAAGTTTGGTTGTCACGTGTCTTCCTCGGGGGAATATGCAGACTGACTCGACAGAGAAGATTTGGGCAATTAATTTCGTTGTTCAACAATTTATGTAGGAATATTATGTGTGCATGTGTCCGTCTTGTACTGAGTTTGAGCAATCCAATAGTAGAGCGTATTTCAAAAAGCGAATGATTTCTAGCTGGCATGTTCATTTTGTAAGCAACATATCTAACAAATTTATTCTGAACTTTCTCAATATCATAACTGTGGTTGAAGTAAGTTGGAGACCAGATACAAGTGCAATACTCAATCACTGATCTAACCAATGCAAAGTATAATATTTCAATAGAAAAAATGTTGGTAAAATCTTTAGTTGATCTGCATATGAATCCTAACAGTTTCATCACTTTGTTAGATATGTGTTCATACTGTAAATGAAACTACACTTGTCATCCATCATAACACCCAGATCTCATATAGATTGTACACGTTCCCACTTCTTCCCTGCAATACTATAACCAGCTATATAAAGGTTTAATGACTTTGAAAAGGAAATACTTTTACATTTTGCCACATTGACATCCATATAATTTAAAGGTCCCATTTGAATTTTCGCACAATCCTGCAACGAATCTATTGCTCTAAACAGTTTTAGATCTTCTGCAAACATCATTATTTCAGAGTGAGTAATTTTTTCTTTGATATCATTTATAAAGATATTGAAAAGAAAAGGTCCCACTTCCACTTGTTGTTTGGGGGAGTTTGAGATGATGTAAGTTTAGAGACATATTGTTATTATGTCGTGTATTTTACCAGGTGGCAACAAAAATAATTGTACAATGTGTAATACTCATTTCTCATGATGATCTCCTACCAGGTAGTAACGGCTACATCAATCAATGTATTTAGTCTTAGGCACCAATGCATTAGTCAATGAGATTGAGTCTTTGACAAAGTATATTTTGATTGATCGATTTTTATTTGCAAAAATTATTTGCATCAACCTTTAAAGAAACCTTCAAAATTTACCTCGTCATTATCCAATTTCTGTTTCTTGGCACTGGAATGGTTAGGACCCATGAGATCGTCCAATATCATCCTCAACCTACACTCTGGACCTGAAAAAAACGTTTCAACAACATTCTCATCGCTCTCAGTGCTCATCCACAAATACCTTTATCTAGTAAATGGTTGACAGTGGCAATCAACCAATACTTGTACTCCGTTTTGGACTCCAACACGTTAGTGGCAGTGATTTGAGATTCGAGGAAGCTGAGCGTTACGCCGGGAGGCAGGGTGGCCATGTTTCGTTGTACAGGCATGCACCTTTGGAGGGAAGACAACGGTAGGTTTGAAGGAACTCTTCGAGTTAGGTTTCCAGCTACTCCGGAAATGGGATCTAACGGGTTCGATAGCTGAATCCTGGAATAAGGATCTTTAAAAAGAAATTCACTACTCTCGTTATTGAAACACAATTTCGTGAACAGTAGTTGATGGAAACTAACTCAAGTGAAACAAGAACATAAATGTTCTGAAGGAATTCAATACTATATCATGTTTCTTGAGGTTAATAAAGTTATTATTCTTATTATATTGCTTACCATGTTTGCAAATCCATACTGTAGGCATAAGCTCTTCCATCAGTCAAAGTTATCACAGGCTGGTCAGAGGGGCTCAAGCTGCAACTATTTAAAGTTCCTGAAAAAACATAAGCGCAAAATTATGTGTATCCAAAGTGAGTAGGACTATTCGACTCTACACTGCAATCCGCGAGGATTTATTGTGGCTCACACCTATTCCAACTTGATCCAATAAATTCTGCTTCTAAACGAATTCAGTGAACCACAAATATGTGGTAGTCTCCGTTCGTATGTGTTGTTTCCTGTTTTTGGCAACCAAGTATTGCCCATCTTTGCATTTGGCTCGCTGATGAAGCCAATAGCCGAAAACACGTGTCCAGAGTTTGCCCCTCTCTTTTCTAGAGTACTGTTCTGTGAATTCGCTTTTTTGATATAAATCATACACACTCGATAATTTTTTTTTTTTGTAAAGTCATATATATTGCACCTGTGCAACGTCTTCTATTTGGAAGATTCGTAACAAGTAACTTCGTATATTAATGAAAAGCTGAAATTAATTTCATTTGGTCGGGACGACCACTGATTGACCGGTTTTGAAGTACTTGCTCCTCGTCATTACAGGGAAGGTGATTTCCAAATGGAAGACGTTGCACAGGTGTCTGATGGTTTTACTTCAGCTTTCTGCGCTGCACTAACTGGATTAGTTGTCATATGCACCTCTCAGGAATATGTTTATTATTCTGATTTCCATTCTACAAGTATGTGTTCGTGGAGTTGTTTCCGGACTTTTGTCTGCAGGTGGCACAGTGAACATTCTTCTGAATCAAATGCAGATAGAGCTTATGGAAAACTTACCTTTTCCTGACAGCAAACTTCTGACAGAAACCCTGCAAAGGATACTCTTCCGGTTTCGCAAATCCCACATATGCATTAGTCCGGTTTTTGTCAGTACCAAACAAAGTCCGCCGAGGGATAGGCTCAAAGAAGACACCAGGTCTTCGATTAGGAGAGGAGGCAGAGGTCTTGCACCAGTTTTGATATCGAAGACGTTTATGGTGAGGTCCTCGCAACAGGCCACTACAGTCGTTCTGTTGGATCCGAGACATCTTATTGAAGATCCTGTTGATGTCAATGGGATTATACAGATTTTTGAGATTTCTGTCAAGATGAAGTATACGGAAGCGTAGAAGGACAATAATTTTTTTTTTGTAAAAATTCCGACTTTGAAGGTCGAAATTTTTACTTTACATCTGAAATATAAGCATTTTAAATTGAAAGTGCAACAATCTAGGTAGGAATTTTGAGTTGCAAAGTCAAAATGTTCACTTCACAAGTCAAAATTTCAAATTTTGACTTTATAACTCGAAATTGCGACTTGTAAAGCCGAAATTAAATTATCATCCCATATAATTTCACACTTTTTTATCAGTGCCCCGAATTTAGAGTCATAACTTACAGTTCAAGATTGAATTAGAAAATGAAAATATGTGACCCTTTCGCGCTTCCCTAGAAATCTTAACTCATATGATTCTCATAGACTTAGCACTTACCTAAGTATGTATCCCATTTGGGCTCTTTGTCGTTCATACTTTTGAAGGCTTCAATTTTCGATAATGAACCTTTTGATGTTTTGTGGCAATTGTTGGTCACCTTGAATTAGATTTCACAATGTACTGAGATGATTTTATAACTAAAACTTATATTGATATCATTTCTAGAATTGATTTCATTTTTATTTCCATTTCTGTATCTGATTATAAATATTATGACATGTATAGATTGTAACCCCACACCTGACACCATATCATTTCTAGAATTGAATTCATTTTCATTTCCATTTTTGTATCTGATTATGAATATTACGACATGTATAGATTGTAACCCCACACCTGACACCACATCATTTCTAGAATTGAATTCATTTCCATTTCTGTATCTGATTATGAATATTATGACATGTATAGATTGTAACCCCACACCTGACACCATATCATTTCTAGAATTGAATTCATTTTCATTTCCATTTCTGTATCTGATTATGAATATTATGACATGTATAGATTGTAACCCCACACCTAACACCATATAATAATTCACAATTCATTACACGGTGATAGAGGTATATCCACAGTACTTGGCTATATAGTAAGAGCATAATAAATTCACAATGAAAAGTGTTTTAGGAAAAATGAAACTGGCAGAGTTTTGTTGAAAATACTTCCCTAAAATGGAATGAATGGAAACCAGAATTTTACTTGTTTTTTGAGTGTGTGAAAAAGAAGAATAGCTGAATCTGATTTGGAAAGAAGGGAAAAGAGGAAGAAAACTTTTTAATTCGTTTAAGCTGGACAATGTTGAACCAAATCGAAAATTGCAGTTCAAAATTCAAGAAGATGCGAATGTGGCAGCCTTAAAAATAGTAAATAAGGAGATCAGACAATATTCAGAAAGGAAGATAGCAGTTTGAAAGAAACCTTACTCAGATTAAGTTACTGCAGGATATTATCAGTCAGTTGAAGCTGATACTTCAGAAAGAAGTGAAAATTAATTCAGGATTCGCACAAATGATAAAAGTAAAATTACCAAGTACGGAATTTTACAGATTTTTCTTACCAAATAACTCACTTTCTACTGGAATGATTTTTCTGTACATGAAGTGAAGTTTTACTCTCACCTGCAATTTCATTGTTCCCCCTTCTTTAGTGACAGAAACTCCCGGTGGCATCTTCAGCGGATCCAACACATTAATAAACTTCACGATAGGTTCATCTCCAGGCACTTCGCAGCACATCAGCTGATTTATCTGTATGCCCGGTGTTTGCGCGACCGCTTTGCTTACCCCCTTTGTAGGATCTCTGAAATCGCCCTCAAAAGGTTCAGAAATTACAGTTTGAAGTTGGGAAGTTAACTTACATAACAGAGGGCTCATTCGGTTTTGTCACTTCTTGCGGAGGTTTTACGGTCTCCACTATAATCTGGCTCTTGGTAGGAGAAGATTTACTGAAAGACGTTTGACTGGCAGCTGTTGTGGTTATCCTAGAATGTTGAAATATGGTGCTTTTTTCAGTGTATGGCATAATCCTCATTATGATAAAAATTGGCTCTAAGTAGGCTGTCAAATGTACCGAAATTGAATGAATCTGAGAGATACTCCATACCAAAGATCCCTAAAAAAGTTTACTGTGAGATTTTCACTTTGAAAGATTTATAAAACAGCAAATCACATGTCAAGGTTTTGAAAATCTCACAATAAACTGTTTTAGTAATTTTTTTCAGATATACCGAGAGATCTCAACAATTTGGCATAATTTTCTTATTAGTCAGTGGGTTATGCTTCAAGACAGGCAGTAAACAAATCTAAAGAAATGATCTTTAAATGTTCAAGCCCGTCTCGGATATACCTACACACTAGGTTGAATGGACTGACGCCCATCAGAAAATAACTACTTCACTGGCTAATACCACGAACGGCGTTGGATTATATCCGCACAGCCTACTGACTAATAAAAAAATTTTTCTTCCTTATTCAGAGGAATCAGGTAAATTTCGGATATGCAGTTGGTGAGTACCTCGTCCACTAGATGGAGTGACATTTTTGATGTTCGCTCCAACTTAGGACGAGGAATGAAATACTCTGAAAGAATTTCGATTTTCAATTATGAAATATCATTGATTTTAGGTCGATGTTGGTAACTATCTTCCACTGCTGAGTGGCTAATGAGTCCGAAACCGGTCTGCAAGTATGCCCGTTCCAAAATTGAAGGTCGACTCTTTCAGTTGTATTGCCAATTGCATATGCAGGACATTTTCTGTGAAGATTCCTGCACTGACGCCTGTCGGATATGATCCAACGCCGTTCGTGGTATTAGCCAGTGGAGTAGTTGTTTTCTGATAGGCGTCAGTCCATTCAACCTACTGTGTAGGTATATCCGAGACGGGCTTGAACATTTAAAGTTAATTTCTTTAGATTTAATTTGGCCTAATATTCAGATAGGTCCACAATATTCAAGATCGCTTATAGTTCCTTTGTTCTTATATACAGAAATGCATTTGGTCTGCTTCACTCTAGAGAAAGTTCACTAGCTCACAGTTAAGTGCAACAGCTTTCAGTACTTTCTCATCAATGCCATCTATGGCTTTGACAGTTCTGGATGCTGTTTTCTATCATCTTTATTGGTACTACTGGAGTCAGAAAAAGGCCAATCTAACCTTCTTATGACCTTTAAATAGGTTTCAATTTGACAAATTATGAGTAAAGGTGATGACATTTCTAATTGCGAATACGTCATCTGTGGGATAGACTGAGAACTAAGTCCTCGAATATCAAAGTTAAACAAGGCATTCCAAGTTGCTTTTGAAAAAATCTCCAATATAATTTTTCAGGCTAAAGTAGTAGGGGAAATACAGGACAAAGCTGACGAATCTATCAAAAACATAACCCAATGGTGTGGTAATAATAACATATCTCTGAATATACATAAGTCAATAGCTGTTTACTTTAAAATAGAACAAGATAGAACTTGTTATTTTGCCACCTGCACGATTTGATTCCTCCCAGAGAGACAGGAAGTGATCTATTCAACAGTATAACATTCGCTAATCTGGACCAGGCAAAAACGGCCTTTGTCGACTTCATCGAATCTCGAACACACAATTTTTATGCTGACGGAATTATTGGACTTGTATTACGTTGGTAAAACTGCACTAATTTAAATGGCGATAATGTCGAATGAATTGAATGAGTATCCACTGAGATATTACAGTTTAAAGTAGACTCAATCAAACGAACAAAACTTTTGAAACAACCTAATGAAAATACGAACGATTTGAGAATACTTACTCTGGAATATCATCCCCGACATCTTTGGCAACGTTTGGCACAGAAGTCAGCAACATCGGAGTAATTCGTCTCTTCCCTGAGGGCAACCTCGTCTCCAGCTGTTTGTTCGCAGGCACCAATATGCTCTGATTGGGTTTCGGGGATTCAAACGAAACGTCTTTGCTAACCGGCTGCGGTTCTTGCACGTCAATTTTCAGTGCTGTGGTCGCGCTTTTCTCGTTCATTTCTTCGATGGCACTGAGTAGTTCAGGATTTTCGACTATTTGGGAGCCCGTGAAGCTGGCGTTCCAGTTTCTTTGGAAGGATTTGTGGTACACTCGTTCGTAAAGTGCATTCTGGAAAATCGTGAGGATTGAAAAATGTATTTACCTTGCTAAATACCAGTAAACTGTATATTTCAATGGCCATCGGGGTATCAGCCAGGAAAGTAGTTGCTTTCCAGCATGAATTTACTGTGTAAGTACCTCGGGAGAGAGTAATGTTTCAAGATTGATAAATTTGTCTATAGGGACAGTTTTCAAAAAATAATAATAGATAAAATTTGCAAGAATTCAATGTGTGAAGTACTGAGTAGTACCTAATATTTCTTCATATTAGGGACATTCCTTCGCTTATAGCTTGATTACTTACCTTTTCGTCCATAGACAGTGGCTTCCCAATTTCTTCCTGGGTAAAAGTGATACAGGCCACAGTGCCGTCCCACGAACAGGCAAGCAAATACAAACCATTGCTGCTCCAAGAGATATCAAGAACGCTGTCGTTGAACAGATCCTTTATCACAACCAAAGGCCTCTTGAGGGAAGTCAACCAAACACTGATTGATCGATCTCTCGACCCGATTGCACAGCAGCAGTACTGAGTAGATTTCGGACTGTCGTGTTTTTTGAGTATATTCGAGTTGAAACGCTGGAAAAAGATTATTGAAAACACGTGTTAAAACGATAGTAAAAGTCTACCGACCACACAAGTTATAGCTTTCCGGTGTCCGACAAAGTCTTTGTCCTGTCTCCAGCCTTCTCTCTCGATTATCTGAGCTGTTGGACCCCCTCCGTTCATTGCATGGGCTGATACTAAGTACTGCCCGTCCGGTGACCAAGACAGTCTAAGAACATGGGTGGTGGCGGAACATTCCGTGAATGGATCTGTTACAACTTCCTGCTGAGCCCAGTCTGATGTTCGCCAAATCCTCAAAGATTTATCATCAGATTGACTAGCAATGTATTTCCCTACCGGGTCCCACGTGACACCCTTCAATGAATATTAATAATACATAATTATATGACAGAATTCATAACAAAGGAATTATTGAGTCAATTGATGCGCTTTTATTGGTAGAGGTTCAAGTCAAAGTTTTGATTTGCCAATTTATCTTTTATAAACAAGTAAATTGGCATCAAACAGTTCAAACATTTGTTCATCTATAATACTACTAGTACTGCCTTCAAGACCTCTATGAAATATATAGAGCATATAGAATAAAAGTTCTTTCATATCAACTGATCAAAATATATAAAAAGGATACCTGGATAAAACCATTAAAATATTCACACGAAGTTATACATAAAAGGAACATGTAGGTGACGTTTATTTTCTACATGTTCTATATTTACCGACTCATATGTTGAAAATAACACGACTTTCATGTTCCGATTAGTTGTCGATAAAAGAGGTTTTGCAAGAAATGCAACACAACCATCTTTCACCTTGTCATTTATGAATTATTGCATTTATGAATCTAGTTTCACTCTTACAATAGACAGATAAGTGCTGTCATTTTCATACCTTTACCATTCCGGTATGATTTTTTAGGACAGATATTTTTTCAGGAAATTTCTGGGCATTCCAAATGATAACGGTATTGTCGACACTTCCTGAGGCCAGCCAACCATCGTGAGGGGCCCATGAGATATCCAAAACATCACCGTTGTGAGAGTTCAGAGTGTGCACGCACTTCCACGTTTCAATATTAACTTTACCGCTACCAAATATTGAAGAAGTACCTTCATTAGACAGTCTCCAAATCATGACTAGTTTATCATCTCCTCCGGAAGCTAAGAGATGCCCTGCGTTACTCCACCTGACAACATTGACACAGGCTGAAAGGGGAATAGCACCATATTTCAACATTTATTGGTCCTTACCCAAGTGATTGTCCATTTGACAGAGCATTTTGGGGATTTTCGGGTTAGTTTCTTCATTTTCGTATAGGACGGGACCAATGTTCCATATAACAATACGTCCTCCTGATCCACCTTGTCCTCCTGTAGCGAATCTTCCCCCATTCGGGTGGATATCCACTGAAAATATGGGCTTGCTATCTGAAATAAAAAAAATACATGAGAGTAGTAAACATACATACAACTGCTACTAATTACCCTCATGATTCACCCATATAGGCTTGAGAAATATCATTTTCTATATGACTATTTGGATTAGAACAATTATTAATTAACACCATACATCTTTGAGGAATATTGCCTATATTTTCTTAAAATTCAAAAAATAAACTTCAACAAATACAATTATGTTTGCAAATCGGTCGCCAGTCCGATCCTGGATTCTGTACTCAGTAATGCCAAGTCCGAAAAAACAGAACCCCTAAATATTAAATAGGGTACGAGCTTCATTGGAAAGTACATATTTAAAAAAATGGAGTGTAGGTGAAAGCAAGAATGGATTTCGTATAATTGAGTATTATCATCTACTGCGACAGTTGGAAAATGCACGTGGGTTTTTATTCTGTCAAATATTTGATGTAATATGATGTGGTTTTGAATTTGAACTTTGAATTTGAATCTTCCCTAAACGCAAGGGTTAATTGTTATCTTATAATGAACATTAAAAAATCACGGCTACAACCACAACATACTAATAAGATCTACATCAGTCATGATGAAATATCAATGATAATAGAAAAATCACTTGAAATTTTCAGCTGCCAATCAACATCAATAATAAAAACGAACCCTAGAAAGCAATGGATACTTCACTTTTGACAAGTAATACGCCCTCTCTGCGAAATATTGGAACTGAGGGGAGTAACGATCCATTCGTCCACCACAGGCACAGTTTCATGGAGGGTACCGGACTTGTTAAAATCAAAATATTTTCAATATCCTTTTTCCCTAAACTAAACCTTACTTAGTTGGGATAGTTAGTTAACTCAGCTAGTTGAACCAGTAATGTTTTATCGTTCATCTCTATGTAGTTAGAAAAAAGTCTAGTGACATTTTCTATTAATAAAACCAGTGCACTTTTAGTGTATTTCTATCCTTTGTTAATTTATTATGTAATAGATGACAGAGGTAGACAAAATTATATAAGGATAAGGTGTTTGTATAAAACACAAAATACCACTGACCCAATTGTCCAATGGTAAGACGGTTGTTTGAAGAGAAATAAGGAAAACATAGAGTGCCACACGTCATCTGTCAATTTTCCCTTAAAAGACAGAAATCTGATCAATTCATTCGACAGTGAACTTTACTGTCAACAATAATTTAATTTTGTTAATAAACTCAATCACAGATGGCAAGGGTATCGGTACATTCATATAATTTTATAAAGTAAACATTTTCAAATTGCAGCGGGCTTCCTATTGAAGCTTCCGGTTCGATTATGAGAAAATGAAGTTTTCGCTTGTGAATGGGTCTTAAGGTTTTTGAACTATTGTATTTATCAAAAAGTAGTGATGTCAGAGTATTATAAAAAATTACGTATTTTTTTTGTAGGACTCGTCGATATGTACAAAATTATAAGGCATAGTTCTTGCCGTTTCAGAAAAGTGTCCCTCTCTACTCAATGGAAAATATTATTCCACTCAACTCTTATATAACTTCAACGTTCAAGGAGAAGCAGTCTCCAGATTCTTTTGTTAGAGAGATTTTAGGAAAATGGCAAATTATCAAGATCAATCATTCTGACACTGTCTATAGTTTCGGGTTTCTGGGTCAATATTTGTTGGAATTTCTTCCTTACGTTGGTTGGCATCTTCAGAGGTTTGTTTTATCTCTCCCAAGTTTAAAAATACAGCCTGACAGCGATAACATAGACCATAGATCTCTGAAGATGCTAGCCACTGACGCCGGTGAAACGTCAACAAGAAATTCCAACAGATGGCGTCCTAAATACCCGAAACCATTGTCCGAAACTACGGCCGTTGTCTAAGGATTTAGAGAACGCTATAGCTTTAAGAAATGACTGCAGAAATCTAAATTTCTTCGTCAATCATTCTATTCATAGTTATAGTTGAAAACAGTTTGAAAAATCGCTTAAAGGAAGTATATTACGTTTACTTATATTCTGAAATTTGTATGAAATAAAGCTATATTATTCGACACTTTATTTCTGCCCTGAAACCGATAAAATAAAAGATTAAAATGTCATAATGCCATGAAAAACAATTTACGAATTAGCATTTCATTTCAGAAGTTTTAACTTCAAAACAACAAAGTGTATTCTTCAAACCGGTGTGCAAGTAACAATCAAAAGTCGCCTCAGGGCTAACCAAAAAACAAACGCCGGCCACAAAGAACTCGATAGAAAAGGAAGAACAGCATCCAATCCAAACAGTCCTCCTGACTGACAAAACATTCAAACAGGTGTATTATTTGTGCGCGTCGTTTCATAGTGGGAAATGACCGAGGAGTGTTGTAGCTGGTACTGCATGGCACGGAATCAAAGACTCGCGAAGGACATGCAAGAACACTTATTTGTCTTATAGGCGAGGAGTTTCTCGCTGGAAGATGGCTTGACGGCCGGAAGAAGATTGTTATTTGCCGATGATGATTTAAAATGCCACAGGGGTCGATAGAGAGTGCGGACTTTGGCATCTTGCCGGAAATAAATGTTAGGCAATGAGTCTCATAAACGTACACGTGCAATATGGGCTTGGAAGGAACGATGAATGCGAATATTCTCCAGATTTTGTTCCTGGCATACTCGATGAAAGGTAGTGTCATGGTTTTTCGGCTTTTTGATTGATTTTAGCCCCATTTTTAGCAACTTTTCTGTATTCTTCTAGTCTGTTCGACCTCAGCGCATTGCGTTATCCAGGTTCAGGTATAAGCACACTAACAACATTAATACGCGTTACACAGGCGTGATATCCAGTCATCAAAGATTAATTCAGGATGTAAAAACCTCTGAAAAAGCTAGCCACTCGCGCCAGCGAATCGTCAGGAAGAAATTCCAAAAATCCACGGCCTTCAAACCCGAAAAATAGTGACAGTATAAGTTATAAAATATTGGTCGAAAAGAACTCGAAGTAATATAAAGTAACCACTCCAATTTTGACTTTTTGGAAGAGTCCGAAACGGTTCAATCACTTCCAGTTTACTTCCATTTCACATTCATAGATGTTTCGAATATGACGTCTGTTCAATGTCCCGCCAAGGTCAGTTGAAATTTATTTTTTAATAATTCTAAAATACAAATCACGAAATTATAAAACAACAACAAAAATTAATTGGCGCTCCGGGGCGACTTCATTGGTTCCAGTGGCGCATTTGCATTTTCAGCTGAAGGAAAACCTGGAGAAACCTGCAGCACCGCATCATCTGAAGATCTTGATCTGCCAATATCCTCTCTCATAAAACAAAATGTAGGGTGTCTCCAGAGGCTCCACTAATAGTCGTGTCACTTAGTAACACGACTATTGTCAAACTTAAACCAGTCTGTTTCGTCTTTGACCAAGGCGTAATAATGACTAGATTCAACGCCAGAACCACAGTGAAAAAAGATTGCAGGAAGATCATAATATTGGTCTGTTAGATTGAAGTGTTCATCTATTTCGAACCTTCGTAAGAGTTTGGTGCTTCCGTTAGAGGTCGAGTCATGTTTGAAAATCATCACTGTTATTATTAGATTGACTGGTGCCTCAGCTATACTTATTTTCTTATAACAGTCAGTTAGTTTGGCGCATGTGTGGCATTAGTTGATCATCACCTGTTGAAAGTTCCATTTTCAAGTGATTCAACAATAAGCTTTGCACGGACTGGTTATTAGTCATATTAGGAAACGCTAGTTGAAGTTCCGAAATTCACATACGTTTTTGCTACCTCCTGAAATTATTTCAATTCAATATCCTAGTTGATGGCCTAGGGATATCTATCGGACGGGCTTTTTTGTTGCCCTTGATTTCTGACACCCAATATGGAGTCAATCTTCCCTAATCATTAGTTCTTTAAGTTTTCCACGGCATTTGCAGACCACTCTCGATAATACTCATGGGTTCATCAACACTCGTCCTGGCTGTCTATCAGAATTTTGAGCCTCTCATGTTGTCAAAGTCCAAAATTGTTATTCCTCTGCGTACTGAATGTCTGCATGTGTCCTGGAAGACAGATGTGTATTATGCCAAGCGGATAGCCATAACATAAATTTCTACCCACACGTATAGTCCAAGATAATACTCTGTTTCTCAGAGTTTCATCTGCACCACATCTGTATCCTCATGATATCCGCATCAATCATGCATCAATCAAACAAATTCAATAACAATCATATGAAATCTGGAATATATCAGTATCCTGATAGATCCTCAACTTTTGCAAATGATGATGATTGAAAATATATAAACTTCAAAAACCAAGCATCAATAACTTTCAAAATTGCTTTCAACAAGTATTGGCATTACGGAAGATGAAAGACAATGGTTTGGAATTGTTGAGATCGGTAGGTACAACCAGACAGTAGACTTTTGGATGCGAACGTTTGGAAACATTAAATTGACAGCGACAAAGGTCCCTTTGACAGCAGGCCTTAGTTCCACAGAGTAATTAGTAGCCTTTTTTTAATTTACGAAATCGAACATACACCTGTGTTCCTTTGAACTAGTTTTCATAGTTAGTTTAGGTTGTCCAATACATTCCTAGCCATAATGTAATACCCATAGATTCCTTAGTTTCTGGTTTGAATTGTCGACTCATCTGGAACACCTCCACTAGAAAGATGGTAAAAACCTACATCAAAACATTCCATACTGAGTGCTCAATTTCTAAATGCCTTCGAGCGACGATCTATCGAAACACTAATAAATACAAGATTTTCTCGTTTCATGGGAATTATTAGTTATTACAAATAATCATCACATGAATTGGCTTCATTACAAAATGAACTTAGAAATGAGAAACGGTTGAGAACCGTTTGTATGTCAATCTGGGAGACTATTCAAATTCCACGCAATTCCATGATGATACGAGATGTTTCAAGTTTCTCTTTTTATTGCCGATTACCGATCGATTACAGTTCCATTAGAAACGCGGGTAAAATTGATGTAACTGGATATTCCTATTATCTACATTTCCAACATCAATTCGATTTCTTGTATCTTATTATACAGAGCCTCCCAAAGCAACGGATAAATACTTTAAATACATTCTTTAAAATCGTGGACAAATATCAAAATAAGTATTATTTTTCAATATATCATTCGCCAACCAATCACATTGGTGCATGAAGGATTTTTTTTCGGCTATTTAATTTATTCCAAAACTCATGCACATCTTCGCTAGCCAAACACCATTCTGTGTTCCATTCATTCGATTCATTATCAAAAATCAAGTCATTTGTCATTACTGTCATAGTACTTATTTAGCGTCAAAACCGAGTCTTCTTCTTATATTGTTAAAATTTGCCGTTTTCGGTGTTCTTTACAATATATATGTTCTTCTTCTATTTTTTATGGTCTTTGCTTCATTTAATATATATGTAAGGACCGATGAATGGAAACGTCATAGAGTAGAAGCAAAAGATTGAAAATAGTACTAGAACTTCTCGAACTTTCAATAGTACTAGTAACGTACCAGAAGATAGTGAGAGGTACTAGAAATAATACGATTGTACTAACAGGAACATCACTGCCCGTCTTGATACTTTGAGAGGATATTGACACAAAATTGTGTGACTTGCCCAAAAGTTATTCTTCAGGAACACTACATTAAACTAAACTATCGTTATAAAAACTGGTTCATAGGAGGAAAACGACCACAAATTGGTAGCCAGATACTGCTGAATACTAGCGGTTCACTTATAAGGGTACCAATGTTGCTAATGGCCTGGTAATCACCAGGATCGTGGATGATTAGAGGTTCTTCCTGGTAATTTTCTAACAAAATATATTTTGGGTAGTCACCAGGTTATCGAACTCTCGATAGGATGAACATCCTGGCATTATTTTGTATAATGACATTGAGATGTCGGAATCATGATTGCCAACAATTAAATATAAAACCCGGTCAGTACCCAACTCTTATCAAATCTGATCATTCGCTATAATGTGCTATTTTGAATTGGCGCCACTAGCATAGCAAATGGTAAAACATGCACATTTCAAACCGAATATTCAGTTTATTTTTATCTTTTTTCATCACTACATAGTTTGAAAGATATAAATACACTAATTGTGTACAAGTTCTGGGATTTCTATAAAATAATTTGCTGTTGCATGTGTCAATAGGCAAGCTTAGCTATTTTACTATTCTTTCACTCCGTTGCGGCTTTCAAAATTGAAATGGACAAATTTCCCGAATGGAGTCTTGAGAAGTAAAAGCGTTGGTATCGAACATTTCATAACAATCGACGAGGAGAATGACTTTTGAAGCAACATTTTTTGTTTTCAACATACATTTTCATACAAGCAAATGGTTCAAAACACAATAAAAGTTTTTACAAAGGAAAATTAAAGAAGCGATTACCACAAAAAATTATAACGTAATCAGTGCAAAAACGCAATGCATTTTGGGAATTTCATACAAGTCCAATTTATTCTTTTGTAATCTGACAAGTTGTGGTTGGAAAAGGTGATTTCTATCTACCAGTAACAGTTGGTGTCTGGCACATCAGCGAGAAGAAATAATTCAATTTGAAATTCAAGGTTTCAAGAGTGATCGGCAGAGATGGACCCCATCACCGTGTCATCAGTCAATCGAAAACTGTGGAAGCTAATTATCAACGAGGTTCTTACCTTTCAACGTGGGATTCTTAGCATGTGATAGTAATTTCACTGAATTTCATAACAAACAGCTTTTAAATACTGAAAATATCTTCAATCATATTTCGAATCATTCCTATGGAAAAATTTTTTGGTAACAAAATAAATGGTGGAACTCGAACAGTTGGATATCATAACTGATGGTATCGAGGATTCTATATTCACGTTCATATTTCTTTTAATGATTCAGTAAACGATTGACCAACACCCGTACATCGACGTAACGCAAGATCTGCCAAAACATCGCCGCTGTCTGTGAGAGTGTGCAGGAGAATCCGAGGCAGTCGATTTCGCATCGCTCACAAGAACTTGGCCTTTCATAGACCACAATTTGGCGAATTTTGCGTCGTGAATTGGGCCTGGACCCCTACAAAATTCAACTGACCCAAAAACAGACAATGACGTGTGTTTTATTTATTTATTTCATACACTATTCTACAGGATGAAACCAATTACAGAATAGGGAGTAACAGTGGCATTTACAAATATGTACTTGCATAATATAATTTGTAAATCTATATAGAAAAAAATTAAAAACAGAACTATCAGTTAGTTAAGAAATGTTTTTTGAATTGGAGACTTTTTCATTATATTTGTACGCGGAGTGTTGAGATAAAATGTGACACTTTTCCTAGATGACCGTCTAGGAATCCAAAAATTCAACATATGTAACAGTGGAGAGCAGGTGATGATATTGTTTATGACCTTGAATAGAAAAAGAAATGAATAATATTTACGTCTAACCTCGAGACTACAGAAATTGTGAGTTACAAGCAATTCATAATAGGATATTCCTACAGTAGGAAACGTGCCTTCAAGTTTGAAAGACATATATTTTAGGAAGCGTCTCTGTAGGGTTTCTAGTTGATTTATATGAACCTGATAGGGATTCCACACGACAGGTGCATATTCCAGCCTAGATCGAACAAAAGTGAAATAAAGTAATTTCAATGTTGAAGCTTTTTCGAAGTCTTTTGTATTTCTAACTAAGAATCCATACATGAGATAAGCTGGTGTTAGAGTAGTGTCAATATGTTTATTGAAAGAGAGGGATGAATCAAAAGTAACACCTAGATCAGTGAGTGTGTTCAGGACGCTCCAGAACTTGATTATTCTTCCGACAGCATCTAGCAACGCGACTTAAATTCAGGGCGAGACGTTCGCAATCATTAGAACATGTTATATTGTGTGCATAAATCATCTGTGTATAAAAGGAAATTGACGTCAATCTCAGCTCCGATATCATTAATGAACATATTGAACAGTACGGGTCCTAGATTTGATCCTTGTGGTACACCAGATATGGCTATTAGACTTGAGGCCATTGAGTTAGACGTACTACTTACTATTAATTCATTGGATAACCCAAAAGTCGAAAGCTTGTTGAGCAGGATACTGTGGTCAAGTCTGCAGAACGCTTTAGAAAAATCAGTGGTGGTTGAACGTCCTTTCATGAAATCGTGTTGATGGAGGTTAATACTGTTGCTGACATGACAATAGATTGTCTTCTCAAGAAGCATCTCAAATACTTTATAAAAGTTGCATATGATAGAAATTGGTCTGTAATTTTCAATCTCACTTTTATCTTTTTTGAAAATTGAGCAGACATTCGGCATTTTCCATATTGATGATACAGTTGATGTTTACAGGCAAGCATTAATTAGAGTTGTTAGTGGTTCAGCCAGAGCTGAGGCACAATCTTTAATGATGAATGCTGGAATATGATCAGGTCCAGCAGTAAATTCAAGCTTTAATTTTTTAGGGTATGATAAACATCTTCAATACAAAAGTTTTTGATTACTAAACTGGGAATATCACTACTGTTGTTCGCATGGTCACTTGATGTTGACACTATATAAGAACCACTGAAGTAATCTGCAAAACTATCAAGAATATCTGAGGGATTATCGAGTAGCTTGCCTTCATGTAACATTTTATCTCCGATTCCATTCGTTTATTTTGACTCGTTAATTAATGACCAAAACTTATTGGGGTGATGGATTATCTCGCTCTCAGTTTTCTGAATGAATTTTTCATAAGCTATTCTAATGGCTCTTTTAATTTCTGCCCGCTGAATGGACTCCGGAACAATTGGCAACTGACCCAAATTTTCATCGAAAAATCATCTTCAGCGATGAGGTTAATTTCTAGACGAATGGGCACGTGAACAAACAAAATTGTCGAATTTGGAACGATACCAATCCACATGAGATCCAAAAGCGTCCAATACATTCCGAAAAAGTTATTGTTTGGTGTGGATTTTGGACTGGCGACTTCATAGGTCTATACTTATTTGAGAACAACGTTGGCCAGGCCATCACTGTCAACGGCGAGCACAATAGGTCGATGGTTACCTACTTCTTTTGGCCTGAATTGGATGATCTGAACACCAACGACATGTGGTTTCAACAGTTCTGGATTTGGAAGTTTCAAAAATATCTGCTTACCCATAGCTTTGATTGTTGCATTTACCTTTCTGATAATTCGAAAAAAATTAATCTATTGATACATTACTCGGCCGCAGCTTGCTGTATTTAATATAATTATGATAAAAATCCTCTGTTATCGTAAACTTCTGAATTATTTTCGTTTTGGTGTTCGGTATTGTCACTAATATATAGCCGATTCAAGTTCTTTCAACTTCCCTATTCATGTTTAGTGAACAAAAGAACTGTATGGTGTAAGATTCAGATTTTATTATCCTTCAAGACGATGTCATTAAATTAGTCTTCCAAAATATTCAATGAAACTGTATGAAAAACAGGCCATTCTACAACTATGTAGGCATCAAACTTTTTAATCCACTCATTCCATTGAAATAAAAAATGAAAAAAAAACAATCTCTCAAAAATTAGTAAGAATAAAGATTTAACATATACCTAATTTAGTTTAAGAACTTAACAGTTATGCTTTGAAACTTTGGTTATTACCACTAATTAACAATTAATTTACGAACTAAGGCAGATCGAGACAAGACAATAAAATATATCCTATTTTTTGGACTTTGGACCACATTTTTGACAATAACTATCGAAACCAAAATTACCAAAAGCAACAAGTAACCCATTGAATCCAGTCTTCTTTACGTGAGGTAACGAAATAATTTTCTTCACATCCGACACAATTATTTTCCTCTTGATCATCATCACATGGATCGTCGTCACTTTCTAAAATCACATTAGTGACTTCCTCTGAACTAGAATATTCAATTTTTTTCTTGAAAACTCTATTTTTTTGTAATGCATTTTTCCTTTTCTTTGCAGCCAACTGCTTCAATTCCAGTTTTTCAGGAGTATCGGTTAAGACTCTAATTTTCTCACGTTTTCTTCAAAGCTACTGCATACTGATATGCTAGTTTCAAGAATTGCTCTTTAGGTATGCCATAATGAAATTTGGATGATGTTAAACAATACTCGACTTATTGCTCTTCCTCTTTACATTGAAGACTCTCTTCACAGCATTATTGGGTTTATAAATGACAGTTGTAGTTGTAGTAATTATAAGTAAACTAGAGTAGGCTATAGAAAATATCAAATGCTTGTACCTAGGGACAGTTCCAAAGTAAAAAATATCACTGTCCCAAGATACGAATTTCGTTTGTTTTGCAAAAAAGTGTGCTTAAGTTTTTTCAATCGGAAATCCAGTATTTAATATTTAACTGCTAAATAAGTTATTGCAAATGTAGTTGTCACCTGATTATACTCATATCAGATTATTCACTTCGAAANACTTTAAAAATTTTCAGGAAACACAACAATTATCACGCATATAAAAAAAAACGCACGCGAAAAATTTGACAACGCAGCGCAATGACGTGATGAATCAAAATGGCCGACTCTGTTGAGTGCAATAGAATTGTTGTTTTAAATGACCGCTAGATGTTGCTTGAGGCAATTCTCGGGCTAAATTTTGTAATGATTATGAAGTTGTACCGAGGTACATGGAGTCCCAAGGTACAAGGATCTCCCCTACTCAACATGTTTGATATACTGGTATACCTATTTACTTGTAAAATAATCCTCATTCCACGATTGTGTAAAATTTGTGAAGCCTATACCTTATTTTGGTCAAACTAGTATAATAGACTAGCGCAATAATCAAAATGGGGTTGGATTATACAATTATAGAGTGTAATTATTCATTTCATCAGCAAATGTTTCTATATTATCTATTGAAATTGATAACAAAGTGTCATCTGCAATAGGTTCATGAAATCACAGCCATGGATGGTATCTTTATCATTCAGGTAGATTAAAAATAATGTAGGTTCCAAAACACTCCCCTGAGGTACCCCGAAAACGACCTTGCGAGATCATGACACTGAATCCTCTTTATCTTATGTTGTGATAAATAGTCAGTCAGCCATAAAACACAGTTTTCCCACAACAGATACTTTGCAGTTTATTTAGTAATATGTGATGATCAATTGTCTCAGCTTTTTTGAGATCTGAAAATACGGCTATAATATAATGTCCTTTATCTATTGATTCTTTCCATTATGATATTGTGATTCGAAATGCAGACTCACAATATTTTCTCGATGCAGGCAAAGTGTTGATTGGTCTAGAATTCCCAGGATTTATTTGTGTTAAGGACTTTCTAAATTGGCACAAGGACACTGATTTCGATCTCGTATCATTTCTTACTTTTATTTTTTGATTTTATTGAAATCAACACCCGAATGACTCTTCAGTCATAGTTTTTGATGAAGGCGAAATTAAATTGTGTGAAATGGCGCTTCTAAACCAGACTATAAACCGATTCTCCTTGAATGACCGATCACCGAACGTCACTCTTCAATTGTTCTATAACAATCCGCCGTCTCAACCGCGGCGACTTCAAGTTTCTCGTCTTCAGAAAATTACCTGTGAACGCCGGTTACCATCGAGCAAGCGCGAGAAGTTCACCGCACACAGCGTAGAGTGCCTGTTCCGTTCGAAGGTTTGAATTTGAAAGATAGTCCGCGCCGCGTTTGCTACTGCACAGGTGGTTTACTATCGAAGTGTGCTGTGGCTGTAAACAGCTTCGCGAGAAGTTCTTCTTCTGACTTTCTAGTTATGTTTTCGTGTTTATACTCACTGTAATTGTTGCATGTGTTGTGTTTTAGAATAGAATATGCAGTGCTTCCCGGCACTTTTGAACTACCTGTTCGGGTTGGTGCTGTGCTACTGGACAGTGTCGCTGGTTTTGGGGGAAACGAGGATTCTTCCAAATACAGGTATGACAGAACTTTCGCCTACTTGCGCGACGATAGAGGTTAATAACCCACTGATGTGGACCCCGAGGAATTTTGTGCAACGGTATCACTTGGTGACAATAAGTAGATATATGTAATTTGTTGAAGTTACCAAACTTTACGGTAACTTTACTAATAGACACAAGCTAAAAAGGTAGATAATGAAGAAAAAATGAAAGCATAAAAAGTGTTGAAAAGAGACGGTTAATGTTTATAGGAATAGATTGAAAAATTGGTGTTTATAAGTCGATTCTAGCTACTGGGGATAACAAAATTTGGCGAAGTCTTCTTTGTTGTCTCCACTGGTGTTTTTCGCGAAATGAACTGACAGAATGAAGGAAAATTTGTTTTTGATCACCTATATATTTAGCGAGTAATTATTTAAATCTTTTGTTAGTCAGTGTAATTATTCTTAGTGAAAAACCTCAATTTTCCATGGGTTTTTCCATTAACCTGTGTGTGTGTGAGACGGAATATAAGATCCATAGTAATTTTAAGATAGGTATGAGATTTTGACAAATCATCAATAATTTTTACTGACCGGTCATTATTTTATAAAACCGATAATAACCAATTATTAGAAATATCATTTTTTTAAATGTTAGGTTAGGGAAATACGGTTTTCACGATATCCGTTGAAACTAGACCTCCTATTAAAGAAGTTCAGTACAAAAGTTGTAGGTAATATGTATTTACAACTTTTGCATGAACTATTTTTCCACATTTCCTAAAATGTATCAAGAAAAATCGGTCAAAGTGTTTTTGAAGTTTTCATCATATTTGGTGAAAAGTTACCTTTCTGTGTTATAAATACAAAAAATATTCAGTTCAACATTTTATTTTGATGTTAAACCCTCGGTTAAACTTGAAAAATACCTCAACAGTTTTTTTTCGTCTTATTTACATTCAGGCGGTATAAAAACAAGTAATATTACCTACTACGGGAAGATTGTCGAAAAATACAAATTAATGAAAAAACTAATTTCATGTTTGTAGTTTGTTCTCTGGCATCTGAAATATATTTCAATAAAAAACACCACTGCTGATTGCGACCCACTGTTTTTAATTTAGTGGAATTTAATGAGATCATTTTCAAAGTTTAATTCAAAAATAGATGAATATTGAACCGAGAAAATAAAAAACACCACTGCTGATTGCGACCCACTGTTTTTAATTCAGTGGAATTTAATGAGATCATTTTCAAAGTTTAATTCAAAAATAGATGAATATTGAACCGAGAAAATATTATGAATGAATATTGAACCGAGAAAATATTATGAATGAATATTATGAAGAGTTTTTGAACGAATGAAAAGGGCAGGTAAGTTTCCACCAAATTTCGTGAGAAACGAACAATTTTCGTACTGGGAAAAATAGTCTCCATCAAAGGAGGAGATCTTGTTAGTTTAGTGTAACTTTATGATTGACAATGATTTTTTTTTAAGAAAATTGTGATAAAGAATTTTCCTCTAACAACTAGAGGTCATTCCTAATCGAAAGAGCCATGGATCATAATTTTCGGTGCCCTTGGACAAAATTTCCAAAAAAAGTAACTTGTGACCCAGACTAAACTGAGGAAGATGAGCTTTTCTGCTGTAACGTTGAAATTCCCAATTGGGAGCGTTTCCATCTTTCAGTTCTGGTATACTTTCGCTTCGCGACCTATTGAAACGTGTCAAGAAATACAGTTACAACTCCTTATACGAACTTGGTATGTTCAACTACTAACTGAATAATTTCGTACCGTCAGCGGCGGAACCATGCTACTAATGGGGGTTATAAAACTATTTTTTGGTACGAATTGAATGTTAACGTGCAGCCTGAAATTGAGCCAAAGTTATCATTGAGGAAAGAAGAGAAAATGTTGATTTGGGCTACATGTAGCTGGACTAATAAACTTATAGAAATGTATGTTTGAGAATTTCATTAGTTCGGATTTTCATGGTCTAATATGATTCCACTATGATTCGAAATATGTGGAAGAACAAAAGAAGAAATGAAAAAGAGTAAAAATAAGCCAACAATAAAAATGAATTAAAGAATTACAAAAGGTTTCAAACCAAGTTACTTCACGACGTGCCGATTGTTAGTGTCCATAATCGTCATTCGAAAATTAATTTGGATCCATGGGAAGTCTTCATTGTTTTGGCCTCACTAGTGCCTATTTCAGCCAACCAAATAATATTTATTTGTTGTGGAACACAATACTTTACATTATTTCCTGTATATAAGGCTCTATGAACAGATTTCCAATTTAAGGAAGAAATAAACAAGTTCCTGGTGGATCCATTGGATACTATTAGCCAAGTACAAACAGCAGATGCTATGTCAAAGAAAAATTGAAAGACATCGCATTCACAGAAAAACCGAAGAAGCTGAGTTTATCGCACATAATGCCAAAGTCAAGAGTGTCGAAAGCTTGACTGTAGTCCAAAAGGACTAAAACAAGTTGATTTACTTCTTTGAAGAGGTAGTTGGTGATGTGGTAGTGCTGTGTTGAGGTCTGAAACCGAACTGCATTTGATATTCATCTATGAAGCTATAAATTTGGTCCTTGGTGACCATCTCAAGTGCTTTTGAAAGACAAGGTAGAATGGTGATAGGATGATAGACCTCAGGTCAGAGAAATCCGAAGGGGAGTTGCACTTGGCTAAAGGAATAATCACACCGTTCTTCCAACAACTTGGAAAAATACTATTAGAGTTAAAGTGACATTAGTGAGTAAAATAAACGGATCCAATAGATAACTATCTAAGAGACGGATCATTAGGAGTGAGATATTTTGTCTGAGCGGACTGTATTACTTTTGAGACGATTCAGACAAATCTGTATAACTACAGACGAGACTGTACTGCAATAAAAAGGTTTATCAATTACTGAAGGGGAACGGTGTCGTTCTAATGATGGACTTTGACGGTTTGATCGCTCAGGTTGGGAAACTGTACTGAAACTTAGTTGATAAGGTTCGCGTTATTCAAATTATTCGGGATTTCTGTAATGTAACTTTTTCTCAGTATGTCTAGTGATCTCAATGTGTTGTTCCAAGCTGCTTTGGAACTTTTCTTCGCAAATATAAAATCGAGGTAAGCTTTTGCTATTGTCTTATGTGCGGAGAGATTGGATAAATCCAACCTCATACACAAGTCAATAAAATATTCTCGGACAGTCAAGCGGCGTTGGAAGCTCTTAGCTACTACCGAGCAACGTCTAAATTGGTAGCAAATTGCCAAATACGACAGTCCTTGATAGGAAGACTTAACAGATTGTCTCTGGTCTGGATTCCTGGCCATACTGGTCGGGAAGGAAATGAAGCTGCTGACTCCCTTGCAAAGGAGGGTGCTGCAAGCAGCTTCATCGGACCTGTCATTGGCATTGCTTTAGGCTTTGCCAAACAAACATTGAACACCTGGATGGCAAGAAGATGTATGGACTTCTGGCAGAATCTTCCAGGATTGGCTCACTCCTAGGTGTTTATTCACACTTTGAAGCTTGATACCAAACAGTTGTTGGACTACAGTAGGGATGAACTTCGATGTCTAACAGGGCTTGCTACAGGTCACTGTCATTTGAATCATCATATGTAGAGACTCGGACTGCCGGAAGAAAGTATGTATCGCCTCTGTTTGGAAAATGATGGAACAGCATAGCATATATTCTGTGCTTGCCACGCTGGGGACCGAATCACGTTTTTAGAGTTCGGCAGAGCCGTTCTCTCACCATCTGACTTGAAACACCACTCACCATACAAACTAATCAGCTTCGTTAAGAAGCTGGGTTTATTTGGTCAAGTGTGAATAGGCGTGAGCCACAATAAACCCTTGCGGGTTGCTGTGGTGGGTCGAATAGACCCACTCACTTCAGACCTAACCTAACCTAATCTTTTTTCTCACTACGAATAGTTTGTGTTGTGTAATTTCTGAGATCTTGATAAATATTCCAAGCAGCAGCAGAAGGAGTGCTGGAATTTCTTGAAGGCGCGGTCTCTGAGATCAATAATTTCCTTGATAGTATAAGTCAGCAATGGGGCTGGTGGCTTGCTGCCTTTTTTGGTAACGACGGGGGTGTGTCTGTCGAATAGTTGGATAATACTTTTGTTCAGAAACATAGCCACTTCGTTAACATCATCAAGCTGATAAAAGTCACCATATTGATTTTCTGGATATCATTACGAAATCCCGCCTGAAAATATTTCCATTTCAATTAAACTGTGTTTTCTGTTTTGATGTCATCTAGAATTTGAATACCCCCAATCAAAAATCCCCCATATAACTTGTCCCTTTCGTCCAGTGAATTCTTGTGGATTCAACGCAAACCACTTTGGTCTTGGAACACATAATCAACGTCATTCACTCGCAGCTAGCCTTTCGAGGATTCGAGTACGTCCTCTGTAGTTGACGACCACATAAATCAATTAATTTGGTATCCCTCCCACGGAGCGGAACTAATCCCGAAGTCAAGAGATCTTCAATTAGAAATGTCGGAGACAGGAGAGGTTTCAGACTATGTAAATATATCCAACCCCATTCTGCGGATCAAGGAGACCATTGTCTGTTGCTGCTCGAGTGCCGTGCTGGTTTGTCGTTTGTTTTGACGTCTGGGTGCTAATTTGCTTACTTGTAGTGAAGACGGCCGAGATCAGGGGCGTAGCAACGTCATTTATACGAAATATAATAAATATATTTTATGTGAATTTAGTATGTTGAAAAATGAATTGGGAGCAGGTTGGCCGAAAAAATACTGATTAAAAATAATAGAGGCTTATTATGAATGCAAAACGCTAACAGACTGCTCGAACAAAATTGTGTGATTTCTTTATGATTTACCACAGCTTGTATAGGCGGATTTATAGTACTTTACCGGGTCTATTCTATTTTTGTATCGCAAACGGGTAGCAAACAAATGATTTCATGAACGTTCGGGTAGTTTTCTATCTGCAGTGGCGTACGTTTGGGTATTTATTCAAAAATACTCATTGAAAATAA